ATATATATATATATATATATATATATGATGTGGTTGAAATGAGAACCAAGTCCTAGCGTGAGAACCGCTATTTTTAATTGTATGTAGTGCTATGATGATTGTGTTTTAGTGCTATTGTTAACTAGGGTGTATTTTATATACATATATAGATACATAAAATGTTACGGTTCCGTTACAGTACCATCCCGCCGGGAGTTTTAGGGCTTGATTATTTATGAAGTAATTTGCTCAAAATGAGTTATTTTGGTTAACCATAGTTAATTTTGAAAAAAAAAAATGTATGATTAGTAATTTTAAGAATATATTAAAATAATATTTAAAATAAAATGATTAAAATTGATTTGATGTAAAAGCAAGAGATAAATGATTGGAAATGATAAATAATTAAAATTATGTGAGTTGATGAATATGAATTAAAATTGATGTGATGTGTAAGAATAATTAGTTTGTATTGTTTTATTATATGAATAACACGATTTTGCTATGATAATATAATTTTGTTAATATGATAAGTTTATTTATTTTATGTAGAAAGTTGGCTCAACTATAGAGCCGACTGTTGGCTCTATAGCAAAACCGATAAATAACATTAAAGATAGTGGAGTTGAGAGTTAAGATTGAGTTAAATTTTGAGTTGAAATAGAAGTGAGTGAAATAATTTGTAAATAATCAATCAAGTTACTCCAAACCAATTTTGTCATTTTCGTTTAAACCCCAATTGAAAGACTCTTCTTTTTTTTTTTTTTTTTTTTTTTTTTTTTTTTTTTTGGGTACAACAACACACGACTCTCTCTATCTATACCCTTACACTGTCGACTTTCCGGCGACCTTCATCTCACACTATCGACTTTCCGGCGATCGTTCGAGGTGGAGGCAAACCAGTAAAGTGAGACCTTTGGTTGCTACGCTGATTTCTTGATTTTTTTCTTAAATGGGCAAACACTACCCGATTCATGGCATAATGATTTCATTTTCGTCTTTTCTGTTGGGTTCATAGTACCTTGAGAGTAAGTGTCGTGAGTTAGCAAGAATTGGCCAATTGGGGCATAACCCCATGGGGTTTTTCACCGTTGATTTAAGCACAGTCACACCCACACCCAGATGGGTATGTGTGTGTGTGTGGGACACGATCGAATTTCACCATGCCTTTTCGAATTAATTATTCTAGTTTTTATTTTTCAAAAGTCCAAAATTTTTCTAATGTATTGTAATCTGGGAACATGTTTCTCATTTCAGGCTAAATTAGCTCGTTTTCTATCGTCTTGGTGTTCATCTCTCTGCATACAGATTTATGAGTAATTGTTATATATAATATAGTTAGATTGGTTTAGGAAAAGAAAAAAAGAAAATCATTGGGTATATATGATGTAATCACAAGCTTCAGTTTTGTCATGGGCTTCTGCCAATTTGCTTCTGAGAACTGTGTTTTATTGCTCCACATAGTGTTTAGATGGACGAACTTAAAGTGCCGTTATGCGTAATGGGGAAATTATGATTTTTGATAGATATCATCCCATTCCTATTGAATTATGCACTATTTTCATTCTTGATAGGCATCTTGGAAGTCATGTTTATGTTCCCATTATGTTTACAGTGTTTAATGTTGCATACTTTGGCTAGTTGGGATTTCTGTTATGATTAAAGTTGATAACATGAAATAGAAATAGCTATGAACGGTTTTGAATGGGTGAAAGATAAGTAAACTAATTAGTTGGTATGTGTCCGGTGTACAAGCAATGGAGTCTTCAGGGTTGCATTGTACTCCTTAATTCGATTTGTAGGCCAAAGTTTCTATCTTGGATCCTATGCAAGGCCGTTGAGTCATTGTTAGGTCTTTTTAGTTTTGAGTTATCATATATCTTGCTGATTTTTCGAAAAAATATAGTTCTTTTCCTCGGTGTATCATTTTAGAATTGTTGCGATGAGTGCTCTGGAAGCTATTACAATCTTCCCAACTGCTTTGTAACAAGTGCTTTGATGATGAACTATAAATTTTTTTGAGATCTTCCGTTCATTCTTATAATTTAAGCTAGACCGTTTTCTGCATTCTTAGATTGGAACCAAAATTTACATCATGGGCCCAGAAGCAAAAGACCCCTCGAAAGCTATGGACTGGAAAAGTATGGAAGAGCCCGTGAGCACTGATTCTAGCAATGGAGCAGCTGTGAAAAAACGACTCCCGAAAAAGATTCGGCAAATTCCGGATTATTATTTCCTTCCACGAAGGTCCCTTCCATCTGCGATTTTGTTCTATGGATCATGGATAGCTGCAGGGATTGGAGCTGGCATGCTGGCTGAGATCTGGTTGAAGAAAAAGGCCAAAGGTTTGGAATTTAGCTGTGCTCTATCTATGTCTGATTACATTAGTTACTACCTTTACAGCTATTTTTCGTAATATTTATCGGCATATCCATTGTTGTTTAGGATTTGGCATGAGATATGCTGAGATAAATGTGGAATTTCAGTTTCTAATAAATTTCCTTCTCAAAATTATGTTAGTTTTGTGTTTTCAGAAAAAAAATTTCTAAATTTCTATTTGTACTCATGTTTTGTTTTGTTTTGGTTTTCTTTTATAATGTGGCATCCGATCTGCAGTGTAGCATTGCAATTGTACGAGTAGTTTATATATTCTCATTTTTGTTCTCTTATAGAGGATGATGTCATTGTTGGCTCGGACGAATAAAAAGTTGGCAGCTGTGCGGTGACTTCCGATTCTACTCCACTGTACGTATGAATCGTTAAATGGATGGACCGAGCTGTTTGTGACTTATATTCTCCTAGTTTTGCCTTGTACTGTTCTTTCTCGTCGGGGGTATTTAACTATTTATGTTACCTTTTCCTTTATTTAAAAATATATATATATATATATATATATATATGCTTTGCTGATGCCTTTTTTTAATTTATTTTTATATTTATTATTATTATTTTTTTTACTTGCTGATGCAATTATCTTTGAAAGGCTTTGTAAAAAAATTTGCTAGTGAACTTTTTCATCAGCTTTAGAGATTCTACATGCAGAAGTTATGCTTAGCTCTTATTGTTATATATCAACGACCAACGTATATGCTCTTTATTGTTTAGGTGCGGGGCGAGTGAGCTTATTATGTTCTTCCGTTTAGAAAAGATTAAACTTGCAAAAAAAATGAATAAAAGTCCTCCATTAGTAAAAGTTCAACTTCAACCGAAAAATGAATGATTGGCTTCTCATAACCACATCTAGAGCTCTTGAACAAAAGGAGTTGCTACTTGCTTGTGTGCTCGGCCCAGTTCAAATTGTTTGATAAGCAAACCAAGCGTGAGCTCGATTATGGCTCATTAACTAAGCGAGTCGAGCCAGCTTGATAACTAGGGGTTTCATGTGTTTTCGTCAAGTTTTAACATATAATTCGGTTTGTTAAGATTCGTGTTCGTCTTGTTACTTAATGAGTGGATACAGGTCGAGCTCAACTTGACTCGATAAGGGATCGAGCCTGAGCTCGAGTGTTGGGAGCTCGAATTTGACTCCAGTTCTAACCACATTCAAATCATTTCATCGAATGTATATTGAAGTTAACAGAAGAGGGAACATAATCATAGAATTTTTATAAATGTGTTACTCGTACATTTTGCCAATAAACAAACATTTGCACAGTACCGATCAGAGTTTTGCAGTATTCAAACACACAGAAAGCAATACAACCCAAATTGGGAAAAAAAA